AGCATGTCTTCCTGGGGGAACTAGGTTGGGGTGGTAACATCAGGGTACTAATGAGCACGAAATTGCCATGGGCTTAAGGTTTACCAGCGGCAGAAGGTTCTGATTTTGAAATCCTCTCAGGAGTGTGAAGAAGGGCACTGTTCTTGAGACAGAGGGAGATCTGTGTTCTCATGGCCTCTGCAAGTACGTTGTCCGTTATTCTTATTTTCTAGCCAGGCTGGGAGTTAAAATAGCTTTACCTGCATAAAACTGCTCTCTCTAAATGTGATTCCATCCAGGAGTAGGCTCTCAGCAGGTCTGTAATGTGTTTTTTTTCTGCAAAGTACCAACGATGGTGGAGGTTCTGGGGTATGATATTCAGGCCATAGGAAGATGTGTGTTTTGCCAGCATCCACCACCTTGGTTGGCCTCATGGAGCTTTTCCCTTTGACCACTTTTAGATCATCCTGGCCATCCTTGTGTCCTGGCTGCTGTGCTTCATCTTCACAGTGACTGACGTCTTCCCTCCCGACAGCACAAAGTACGGCTTCTATGCTCGGACGGACGCCAGGCAGGGTGTGCTTCTGGTAGCCCCGTGGTTTAAGGTCCCGTACCCGTGTAAGTACCCTGGTGGCCAGAGGGAGAGGGGTCAGGAGCTCACAAGAGCCCTCCTTAGAGGAGCTGGAAGGCGGCAGAAGGTTCTGCAGCTTGAGAAGCCGCCTTTGTCCTAGAATGTCCCTTGAAAGTCTTAACCATTCAGAGGATTTGACAGCGGACAGGGGGAGGCCCTGACCCCAGAGGACTGACACTAATGCTCAGAGATTCGCCAGCTCCCTTCCCAGATGAACTAGTTCTTTTGGTTCCACTCGGATGAAATCCTGGACAAAGGGTCTCTGGCCAGGGTTGAAGAAGGCAAGTATAGAGCTGCATGGTACCTAAGCTGCCCACACAGAGCAGGCTTCAGTAGGAGAGGCCTGGAGATTAGCAAGCCAACTGCTCAAGCATGATGGGATTTGTGTAATCTTTTAATGGGTAGCCATAATCTTTGTTTTTTATTTGGTCACAGCTGTCAGAAGTAAAGGGATACTCACCAATAGGTGGAAGATGGCTCTTAAGTTATAATTTAAGTGTTGGATAACTCTTGGCAAGGTGTGTGGGGTGGGAGGTCCAGTCCCAAGCTGAGGTATCACTTGGATTCACACATAATGCTTTCTAGGCCCCAGCGCCAAAAGTGACTTGCGTGAATCTGGTGGTTATTAATGCTTGGGCTTTTTAATTAGAACCGAAACCTGACCTTAGTCGAGTTCTGCTGATTTATTCCCTTGCTCAAGTAGCCACATCTTCACATTTTATGATGATAAGGAGAAAAAGCAGGAAAAGCCAAGAATAGTAAGGTTGGTTTTAAGGAAACTGTTCCGAGCATGTTAAATGATAGTGATGTTGGCAGTTCCTTCTATCATTGACAGGTTTAGACGTAAAAGAGTTTATTCTTTTTAAAACAATATTCTCATAAGATCATATGGTCTAACTATGTATTTATGTACACCTGTCCCTTTTCCCAAAAAAGAATAAATGCATGGTTTATAAACAGACATATAATCCGAGATAAAATGAGATGAAACCTGTTGGTCAGGCAGTCAGGAGGGAGGTGTGGGAGGCTGGTAGGAAGAGCACATGCTGGAAATCTAAGTTGTTATGGATTATAAAGAAATGGACAAAGGTATACCAGGCAGATGCTAACAAAAGTGAATGTGGCTTTGTTAACTTTTGGCTAAATAGAATAAATAGAATCCAAAATGAAAAGCATTAAAGGGGGGCAAAGAAAAAAGCCATTTCTTTTTGACTAATAAAAAGTATAGTTTGCTGAAGGATTTTTTTTAAGATTTTGTTTATTTCTTAGAGCGAGAGCACAAGCAGGGAGGAGGAGCAGAGGGAGAGGGAGAAGCGGGCTACCTGATGAGCGGGGAGCCTGACGCAGGGCTTGATCCCAGGACCCCCCGGACCATGGCCCGGGCCAAAGGCAGATGCTTAATCAACTCTTAATCAAGAGCCACCCAGGCACCCCTTGCTGAAAGATTTTTTAAAATATATCTGCAACCTGGGGCTCCTGGGTGGCTCAGTCGTTGGGCGTCTGCCTTCGGCTCGGGTCATGGTCCCACGGTCCTGGGATCGAGCCCCACGTCGGGAGGTCTGCTTCTCCCTCTCCCACTCCGTCTCCCACTCCCCCTGCTTGTGTTCCCTCTCTCGCTTTGTCTCTCTCTGTCAAATAAATAAAATCTTTTTTAAAAAAAGGAAGAGCAAACGCTGGGAGGTCTTCTCTGTGGTGCAGGCCGGTCCCAAGATGAGCACAAATGAGGAACACAGGGTGGGCTGTTTGGGAAGAGCAGCTGTGCATGTGCTGAGACGCCAAAGAGATGTCCCCAGGGTCCTCTCCCCCCCATGCATGAGGGGCCATGGCCAAGTGGACCGGGCACCTGGCCCCAGGATGGCAGCCTGTGCTGTCGGGCTCCTCCTCACCACAGCCCTTCACCGCCTCGAGCTGCTCTGGGGCCACGGCTCCTGGGGCAGAAGGCCACCCCAGAGAGCAAGAGGGCACACCCTCTGACAGTTTGGCTTAATCTGGAGACAGGTTTCCAGATATCTACAGCAGAGGTCCTTAGTCTTTAGTGTGAGAAAAATTGGTTAAAACACAATTTGGGGGCCCAAAATGTCAGTAGTGCTGAGGTTGAGAAACTGCTCTAAAGTAACATCATAAATTAGGCATTTTAGTTAAAGGGGGTTAAAGAACAGTTCAAAGAGAAGGCTGGAAGCCAACAAGATTTATATGCACATACGCACACATGTAGCTGACTCTTGAACAAGTGGGGGGGTGGTGGGGAGGTTGGTGCACCCCACCCCCACCATCAAAAATCTGCATATAACTTTCTTCCCCAAAACTTAACTACTAAGACCCTTACTAATAAGGTCAACAGCTAATTAACACGTTTTGTATGTTACATGTTTTATACACTGTATTCTTACAAAAAAAAAAATAAGCTAGAGAAAATAAAATGCTACTAAGAAAATCATAAGAGAAAATATATTTATACTATTATACTGCATTTATTGGAAAAAACCTGCAAGTAAGTGGACCAGTGCAGTTCAAACCTGTGTTGTTCAAGGGTCTACTGTATATAGAAATGATCTGAAGGAAGAGGGATCAAAAATTTAGAAGAGTACGATTTAAAATGTTGAAGTAGATGGAATAAAGATTTTACAAAATCAAAGTTAAGGGCTGCAGGCAAAAGGGAAAAAGAAAAAACAGTGTAAAGAAACTAAGAAGTAAAAGGCAGTTTCTGAAGAAACAATAAATGGCAAAATGAGTATTCCCCCCTACAAATCAAGACACTAAAATGAAACCACAATGCTCTGTCAGTAACAAGGTAACTATGTAAAAGATTGCTTAGAAAATACAAAATGTTGCTGGATAAAGAAATCATGGGCACGAGAAAAATCTCCAAACCCGCCCGGAAGGCCACGGTGACTGAGCCTGGCCCTGTGTGCTCCCAGGCATCAGCGGTCCTGCCCTCGCACACACCCCGGGCCTGTCTGCTCGCCGCACTTCCTCTTCCTTTTCCTTTTCCTCTTCCCCTTCCTCTTCCCAAAGCTGGGTCCCCCGCTGCGGCTCGTGTGGCAGTCCAGATACTCAAGAGAAAGTGACCTGGGGACTTCGCTTTGCTTTTCTAAAGGAAACTCTTTAATTTTCCATAACATGATTTACTGTAAAAAAAAAAAAAAAAAAAATAGCGCTGATCTTACATCAGAGGGCCGTCTGTGTCTGCTGCCATGCTTTACTGCTGGGATTTAAATTTAGCTGGTGGTGACTTTTCACTGCATTTTCATTTAATGCCACCACCCGGGCAAGATCCCGGTTGTTTTGTGCCATACTTTGCACAGCAGGGTTAAAAATCCTCTTCATAGAAATATCCATCCCAACAGGAATTCTTACCTTAGTGGGCTCTGTTAAATTGTAATTTAGTAGACACCAAGCGTGGCTTGGAAGCAGCCTCCTCTTCTAACCACTTGCTTTTTAATAAAGACAGAGAACAGACCAGTCCTGGTTCATCTGACTCAGGCACTGTCCCCAGGCATCTAGTGCGCTGATGAGTGACACTTAAAAATAAACAAAAGATTCTCCCTGCGCCTTGGAATCTGAGTGTGTCGTGTGGAGTCCTTTGCTGTCTTGATTCCTTTCACCTCTTTTTTCCTTCCCTAGTTCAGTGGGGCCTGCCCACCGTCTCCGCAGCTGGTGTCATCGGCATGCTCAGCGCAGTGGTTGCCAGTATTATTGAGTCCATCGGGGACTATTACGCCTGCGCAAGGCTCTCCTGTGCCCCGCCGCCCCCCATCCATGCAATCAACAGGTATGTTCCTCAGAAAATGGAGTTCTTCTTGGGCCCAGTGCCTCATCGCTTGGCTCTTCGGTTAATCTTGGAGAAGAAAAGGAGTTTTCAGCATGGAAGCAGCCAGGCAGCAGGGCTCTTTATTGGTTGTCTGTCTTGGGACAAGTCACTGCCTCCATTTTGCTCTCATTTTGCTCATTGTAGCATGGAGGGCAGTTCCCACCCTTCCTTCCGCCTTGACAGCCATGTAAGACACTCTCTCTGAGACCATGCCAGACCTTAAACTCGCCACAATGGATGCGAGACACTGCCATCTTTCTTTGCTTGGTTTGGGGTCATGGATGGATGTCCCCTTTGATTTCTTCTTTCCGTTACTGTTCTTAGGGGTAAATGCTGTGTCCTCTATTCACAATTATAATTCCCATGTAGAGGAACAAGAAGAGCAGGAATAGGTGAAGTCTGCAGAATCTTGAGACTTACGGGCGGTGGGGTTTATCTTCTCAACACACCTGGTCTTCAGTTTCTGGATGCTGAGAGCGAATTGGACCCTGTGGAGGCCTCAGAGAAGAGCGCACTTCAGCTTCCCCCTCCCCTTGCCCAGCCAGCTGCTGCCCTCCTGGAAGGATTGCGTATGATAAGATCCAGTAGGCTGGTCTCTTAGCGTGTCTTGCTTCGGTTCTGTTATTAGTGTTCACACTCCTGGTTTTTACAGCTTTCTCTAATGGATGTTGCATATGATGGAGTTACTTACAAATCGATTGTTTTTAAAAAGTTCCAAAGTTGACAAAATTACAAAGCATTTCCTTCCTGATGAAACTATTAATAGTAAAGGAATCAGATCAGCCAGACAGCCCATATTTGTCTTAGATCCCAACAAATAGCTCTGTTTTCTGGCTAAAAGCCTTTAATTTGGAATGGTTTTTAAACACCTGTGTCTAATGTGTGGTTCCCAGAAGTGCTTCTCACAGTTGAATGAGCATGGGGGATCCTGTTAAAATGCAGGTTCTACTTCAGCAGGTCTGGGGTGGGGCCCGAGACTCTGCACTTCTAACCCTTCCCAGGAGTGTGGAGGCTCCCCGGCCATGCACGCCGCCTTTGGGGTGCAGCCACTTAGAGCATATTTCACTCATTTCCCCCATTGAATGAATGTTTCTCTTTCCCCATTCCTTTACATTTTAGGGGGATTTTCGTGGAGGGTCTCTCCTGTGTTCTCGATGGCATATTTGGTACTGGGAATGGCTCTACTTCATCCAGTCCCAACATTGGCGTTTTGGGAATTACTAAGGTACAGCTATTTTTCTAATTAAATGGTTGGGCCTCTAAGTGTTGATCCATTTCATCGATTGGTCTAACCACCGTGAATTCTAAAAGGAAGGCTTCCAGCTCTGAGGTCATTGCCCCCCCCCCCCATCTCCTTTTTCTCATTGATGGGTTTCTGGAATGCTGATAGAGGTCTCCCTCCCTTGGCTGCCTGGGTAGCCAGGCACTCAGTGCTGTCACTGCTTCGTAGGCATTCTACAAATATTTACTAAGCACCAACCCTGTGCCAGGCTACTGTTCTAGGCACTTGGGATTTCACAGTGAATAAAACAAAATTCCCGCTGTCGGCATTTACATTCTAGACAGAGGAATACAAACCCTAGACAGTAAGCATAGTAAGTATAAGAAAAATACAGGGCAGGAGTGGGTATTGGGAGTGAGGGCTGGTAAGTGTGAAATAGGGTCAGGCTAAGCCTCACCGAGAAGATGACCTTGAGCAAGGAACTGAACAGGGCAGGTGGAGGGAGCCATGTAGGCCCCCTGGGGAAGGGCGTTCAGGCCAAGGACAGAGCCATCATGAAGCCCTGTCATGAGAGCAGGACCACAGGCTGCCCATCAGCAAGGAGGCCGGTGAGGCGGTGGGGGGGGCGGTTGGTAAGAGCAGATGACATCCTCCAGGTAATGGAGGACCAGGTCACACAGGCCCCAGAAGCTGCCAGAGACAGAGAGGAAGGGTGTCCCCTGGGCTGTGGCTCCATCAGGGTTTTGGGGTTTTTTTTGGGGGGGGGTTTAGAGAGCAAGAAGGGGCGCGTGCTTGTGCACACACATGTGCAAGTTGGGGGCGGGGCAGAGGGAAAGTGAGAATCTTTTTTTTTTTAAAGATTTTATTTATTCATGAGAGACAGAGAGAGAGAGAGAGAGAGAGAGAGAGGCAGAGGGAGAAGCAGGCTCCCAAGGAGCAGGGAGCCCGATGCGGGACTCGATCCTAGGACTCTGGGATCATGACCTGAGCCGAAGGTAGACGCTTAACCATCTGAGCCACCCAGGCGCCCGGAAAGTGAGAATCTTAAGCAGCCTCCGTGCCCAGTGCCGAGCCCAACATGGGGCCTGATCCCACGACCCTGAGATCATGACCTGAGCCGAAATTAAGAGTCGGGTGCTTAACTGACTGAGCCACCCCGACGCCCCTCCATCAGGGTATCTTTTAAGGCTCACTTTGGCTGTTATGATGAGAGTGGACCTCGGGGTCGGGAGGAGGTGGAAACGGGAGCAGGAGATGGCACTAGTTCTAGATGTGAGATGATCCCACTCCTTGTAGGAAAACATCCATCCTACAGTAAAGAATTAATGTGGTTTTCCAACCAAAGCAGCAGAGACCTTCTCTTTCAGACGAAACTTGGTGCGGAGTTAGTGGATTTGACAGGCCACAGTGAGTCCCCCAGCTTGAGCAGGGTCTGGGTCTGGAGTCCTCCCCACAGGCCTCCGTGCCCCTCTCCACACTGACCTGTGACCTGGGGCTGCCCCACCCCACAGCTTCTGTAAGGAACCTGCTCCTAGGCCTTTCACATTTATTACTGCACTCTAGATCCCAGTAGCCTTAGCCAGAGCGCACTGTCTGCACGGCTGGAATGTGCCTCCGCCCCGGCTGCTGTACGCTGGGCAGCCAGACATGGTTAGAACCTGCTCGCTGGCTGGGATGGCCGTGTGCGCCACAGGTTTCCCTTACCCGAGCCCTGTGTCCTGACAACCTAGGGGCGAGCTGCCGCCTTCTCGAGCTGTCTGACCTCTGTAAGATTAGAAATACCCCCGCTTCCCCGCTCCCTACAAGATTCCATAACCAGATGAAACCGGAGACTGTTTGGTTCATCCTGACTGCGAGTCCCGGTGAGAAGGGAGCATGGTCCTGACACGTTCATTTCCCTGGAAGTTGGTGGGGCCTTCGCAGAGCCCAGTGTCTGGTGTGCACACAGCCTTGTCGGGCGTGTCCTCCAGTGCCATCGCTGTGTCCTGGCACTGCCCGTGGGGAGAGGCCAATGCTGAGCACACAGAGCTAAGGGCCATGCTTCTCTTTAGCCAGTTTGCTGCCTTGACCCTGTGGACAGACCTAGAACGAATCCGAAATACCATACTAGTAAAATTCTTGTAGATGGAGGGACTTTGGGCAACCCAGTTTAACAAGCCAGCTCCCATTCTGCACCCCTTTAAGGCTGATCATCACATTACGTAACATAACCAGGGTCACTGTAGGGAGTAGGGGGTGTTGTTCGTGGAGGTTCCATTCTTGAAATGCCACTGAGGTGGTTTGGGGAATAATTTATTACAATTTGAACAGTGCCAGTTTATTCTGAAAAGGCAACCTGCCAGCACTTTCTAATGAGCTAATTGATCTTCCCTCTGAACCCCTTTGGATTACTATCCACAGGCGAAGGCGGCATGCATTCAGGGGCCTTGAATTGGTTTTCATTGCCCTGACTCACGGGGATAATTGAGCCATCTACATAGCTGCCTTGGGGTGGGAAGTGGGACTTGCAGCAGAAATTTCTTTTTGGTCCAGCCACGCGGCCACTGGAAGGACTCTGTCCAGGACGAAGGAGGCACGAGTTGGACGCTGTATTCTTCCCCTCATCCAGTGGAAGGACTCGGGACAAATCACTTGTCTGAGTAGAACTGTCAGCTCTGAAGTCTGACAGTTCTAGACCTGGATCTGTGCCATCTGATTTGATAGTAGCTGCATGTGGCTCTTCTAAGTTAGTTAAAATGAAAAATTAAGTTCCTTAATCACACTAGCCACATTTTAAGGGTTCAGTGGTCACATATATGGCTAGTGGCTGTTGATGGGCAGCAGAGATCCAGGATATTTCCATCCTTGTAGAAAGTTCTATGGACAGCACTGGTCTGGGCCATTGTGTCAGACTTCCAGGGCTTGTGGAAAGAAGGTAATCTCTGTTCTTCCCAAGGATCTGCCTCCATGTCCTGGCAGCTGTGATACTTGTTACCCTTTGTCCAGTTGTGACGTTCTCTGTACCTGGAGATTCTCAACTGTTTGATCAGGAGATTAGGCTGCCAGTGAGCCTGTTGCGTGCTCGGAGGTTGTCAGGTGGGATTCCTGGTGTAGGTCTTCTCTTCTGAGTGTGTTCCAGTGTCTGTCCTGCAGAAAGGGGTGGCATGATGGGGTGGGGAGGTGGCTGTATGGCATTCCAGCTCTGGTACCATCACTTTGTCCCAGTGTGACTGTGGACAGATTACATCACCTTCCTGAGTCTCCATGCCCTTGTCTGTATATAGACAGCTTGCCAGGCGTTGGAATTAGTAAACTGATGTAATGCATTTAGCAGAGTCGAGCATGTAGGTACACAGTAAGCAGTAGGTAGCGTCCCTGCTTCATATTTAGCCCTAAGTTTATTTCCAGGGACTGAATAAACCCCACCTCCCCTGACAGTGCAGTCTCTTCAGAGGAATGCCATTTCTCCTCTGCTGCATTCCATACTGTTGAAGACTTTGGAAAGTCAGAAATGAGGTGTCAATGTTTTGATGGCCCTGTAGGTAAAGTCAGAGTTCAAGGAGGTCAGAACGGAGCTAGGGAAGAGATTCCAGGGAGTGGGCAGCAGGAGAGGAGAGGCAAAGGCTCCGTGTAAGCACTGGGGGGACAGGGATTAGGCCTGTGTTTCTGGTGTTGCAAACAGAAGTGTATAATAGGCACTCGGTTGACAGTCACTGAGTTGCTTCTTGTTTGTTTGTTTTGAGCGTCTAAGGCAGATCAGCCTTCCATGCATAATCTTCATATTTGATTTATTGTTTGAAGCGTCCCTGGGGCCAGCCTCACCCTCCCCCTGGCACATCTGATCTGCTGGGAGGTGGGCTTTGCACAGCCTGTATGCTTTTCATCCAGGGAGCTCTTACTTATCCCTCCAGACCATCCCTGGGGAGCCCTTCGCAGCTCTTCAGAGCTGCTGCTCCGTGCTGGGTGCCCACACAGCATAACATTTGCAGCAGTACAGTGATTTGATCGTAAGTTTATGGCTTACTCATCTCTGTATTCCCCTCCCCCTCCTGTCTAACAAGTGCTAGTCATGTAGTAGGTTCCCAAAAATGTTTGCTGAAAATGGCAGGCTTCCTTATCATGTAATGCAACCCAGCAGAGGTCATTTTTGCTTAATTCTCCAGTTTGCGTGCCCTTTTTCGCTGCTTCCCTGCACTTGATGTGTGTGTGGGGGGGGCGGGGGGCGGGGTAGATCGTAGCAGCAGAGCCTGGCCTCCAGGGTCAGCTGGCCCAGATTCGAGCCGGACAGCCATCCCTTCGTTGGCTCAGTAAGAGTCTTCTCTGATTCTTAACCAGTCGGCATTTGGGTCCCGTGAGACGCTGCTGGAAGGCCTAGCCCAGCACCAGGCAGCGGAAGCCCTGTACAGTGGCGGGCACAGCCTGCATTCGCCTGCGCTGCTCCTCTGTGCAGCGGCCACCCACGTGTGTGCCCCAGAGCACTTGAACTAGTGCCTGGTGCGGCTGACTGGGGGACTAGCACTTAGGTTTCATTTCCTTTTACTTAAAATTTAAGTAGCTGTCTTCTCACAGAATCACACTTGAAGCCCTATAGACACTCCCCAGGCGCTTCGGGAACCTCTTTTACTCAGCTTATGCCCTCGGGGTACTTTCCTGGAAGAGGCAGCATACAGCAAGGGCCAGCAGTGCAGGATCCTTGAGCCTAGTGCCCGCTCCACATCCCACTGCCTGGGGGACAGCAGGCTAGGTGGAAGTTTCTAGAAGGCATAGATAAGGTTGAACAGATAAAGATGAGACCACGTGGAAAATATTATAATAGTTCTGCAGAAGCCCAGTGTGGGAGAGCAGAGCCTTGGCATCAAGGAAGACTTTTTTTTTAAGAGGAGGTATCATTTGAGTAGTGTTTCGAAGGATGTATCTGGAGCCAGCCAGAAGGGAGGATGTGAGAGTGTTTTGGGTAGACAGGCTTGGGGATGGCTGAGAAGGGGTTTTATTTCATGAGCACCAGAGGATTTAAGGGGGGCAGAAGGGCACTGACCTCCCAAATCACGGTGTTTGAAAGGTCACTCTGCCACAATGGAGAGGACGGGGAGGCAGAGGAAAGGCCAGAGTCAGCAAGCCCAGGTCGGAGGCTGTCATTACAGCCTCATGCTTGCCAGGCAGTGTTCACACTGTTTTACGTCTTGTCTCATTTAACCCCTAAAGCAAAACCTTGTGGTTTATCTTTATAAAAGCGAGGATCCCGCCACCCAGGGAGGCCAAGTGACTTGTCCTGGTCACATGGTTAGAGTGGAGTGGGGTACACACCAGGCAGAGGGCGCTGAGAATCCACACTCCTTGCCCTCTTGGCTGTGCCACCTCTCATGGGCAAGACATCCTGAGGAGAGGGGATTCCAGAAATATCTGGGACTCTTGTCTGATTCAGGGTGTGGGGAAGATGGGAGATGAAGGTGAATCAGTTTTGGGGTGGGTTAACTTGGTAAAGGGTGATTCTAAGAGCCCAGAAGAGAAAAGCAGGATGAAGTGGGGTTTTTGCATTTGACGTTAGAAGGTCATCCCAGCCGCTAACTGTAGGGGCATTCGAAACCCGGGACAGAGCCGGAGCAGGGCCATGCCCGAAGTGACATCACCCAGGGCGCCAAGAAGCAGAGGCCGAGCCCTGGTGCTGCCTTCCTCCCAGGGAGGTGGGGTGGGGGGAGGGACAGGGGGCAGGATGAGAAAGAGGAGAGGGAATCTCCTCACCCTGGGTGTCTTTATAGTCATTGTGCCCTGAGATCAGTCCTCATTGTCTGACGAGACCTCTCCACTAAAATGTGAAGAGTAATCTAGGGGTTGCCCGGGGCTTTTGTCACATTTGCCCCCCGGGGTGAGGGGGCACTGGATGAGAATGGGTGCAGAACTGGCGCTGAGTGCCGTCTGGCTTCTGGTGTGTCCCCAGGTCGGCAGCCGCCGGGTGATCCAGTACGGCGCGGCCCTCATGCTGGCGCTGGGCATGATCGGCAAGTTTAGTGCCCTCTTCGCCTCCCTCCCGGATCCGGTGCTCGGCGCCCTCTTCTGTACTCTCTTCGGTAAAATCCCATTTCCTTGGTAGCCTGACCTCTCTCCTCCTCTTCACGTTTGCTAGCGAATCCCTTCCATGAGATGGAAGGTAATAATACCTTTCTGTTTAAAAATCCAAAGGGATACACCTTGAAAACATAAAAATCTCCATCCATCTCTGCGTTGAATTTATGTTAAAGGTAGAACCAAATGGAGCGTACTTGTTCTAGAAAAAATAAGATGACCATAATCTTTAATTGGTTTATCTAATCGATTTGGATTCTCCCCTAGTGGCCGTTTAAAACTGACAATTTTTACCGCGGGATTTGACATGATCTCTGTGCCATCCAGTTGTGGTCAGGGCGCAGGTCTTCTGGTGGGTTTCCCAGTTTAATCAAAATGTTTGCAGAGAGGTTCTCAGGGGGCAGCTGATGTTCTTAGTTTTCTGCTTGGTCTAAAGAAAGTGTCATATGATGTTTGTGTCCCTGTGTCAGTCCAGATGGTGCTTAGGCCAAGAGTCATTTGGAGCAGAGAGCCAGGTGGGCCCATTTCGACCCTGCGCTGTCCCTCACTGTTCTGTGTCCCCGGTGGTTTCTGGTGGGACGAGAAGGGGCGATGTGGGGAGGCTGGGCATGGCCTGTCACCCGTCTGTAGGTGAGCTCAGTGCAAATTGCCGTCTGCTCTTTCTCTCCAGGAATGATCACAGCTGTTGGGCTCTCCAACCTGCAGTTCATCGACTTAAATTCTTCCCGGAACCTCTTTGTGCTTGGATTTTCGATCTTCTTTGGTCTCGTCCTTCCAAGTTACCTCAGACAGAACCCTCTCGTCACAGGTAAGGACAACTGGCCTCAAATCTCGGGGGTAGTTGGAACCCCAGCTGCTGGTTCACAGACAGCCCGTCCCCAGTCAGAGAGGGCTTTAGAACTTCAGGAGTTGTCTCCTCAGACATTCATCCATGGATTTCACTCAAGCCTTGCTCTGCTGCTGCTGACCTGGAAGCCCCCCGCACATCTGGTATGAGCTGGCGTGAGCACGTGACTCATGTGCACGTTAACGTTTTTATTGACTGGGACCCTGTCTTTTGGGAGAATGCCTGTGTGTAAAACCTTTTAATTTGTCAGACTAATGCTTTATGAAAATGTATAATTTCTTAAAACCCAGCTTCATAGACTTTCAAATACATGTCTTTCTACTGGGATTATATAACTACTTTGAATTCAAGATTAACCTTTTTTAACACGTTTTTATTTTAATAACCTGAGTCATGAAAAATGAACAAAAGGGAACCATGTTTTTTAGAGGAGGGAAGGGACAAAGGGCGAGGGAGAGAAAGAGAATCTCAGGCAGACTCCTCGCCCAGCGGGGAGCCTGATGTAGGCCTCCATCTCACGACTCTGAGATCATGACCTGAGCAGAAGTCAAGAGTCGGACACGCAATTGACTGAGCCACCCAGGTGCCCCGAAGGGGAAACGATTGCTGTTGACATTTTATGCAGAATTGGGGACCGTTTTATATATATATATATATTTTTTGAGGTAAAATTTATATAACGTTAAATTAACTATTTTAAAGTGAGCGGTTCGGTGCCATCTTGTCATCTAAATGTCATCTACATGACATTTGCGATGTCATGTAACCACCATCTCTATTTAGTTTCCAAAACCATCTCCTCACCCCAAAGTAAAATTCCACACCCATTAAGCAGTTAATCGCTATTATCCCCCTTCTCCCAGCCCCAGGCAACCACCAATTTGCTTTCTGTTTCTGTGGATTTTACCTATTCTGGATATTTCACATAAATGGAATAATACAATACGTGATGTCTGGCTTCTTTCACTTAGCATAATGTTTTTGAGATTTATGTAAAAATATTTCATTCCTTTTCATGACTAATAATATTCCATTGTGTGTGTGTATATACACACACACACCATAATCTATTTATCCGTTTGTCCAGGAATGGACATTGGGCTATTCCTGCCCTCTGACAGTTGTGAACAGCGCAGCTGTGAACAGTGGTGTACCAGTGCGGTCAGTCCTCACTCAGCTAGCCGTGTCCTGGAAAGTCACTGTGAGCATGGAATTAGCAAATCCTGACCCACCCCTTCTAGGGGAACAGCAGCCAACAGCAGGCTAACTCGTCTAACAGCACAGCACGGCCTCAGGGAGGCCTGCTCTTAGGAACAGTAGACAGCACTTGGGGGCCATCGTAAACAACAAAATCACCAACCAAAACCACAAAAATGGGGAAAAAGTGCTATTGAACAGACTGCTGCAAGCACACTTGAGATGAGGTGTGAGAGCTGAGACAAGAAGGCAGAGCATTATTACCTAGTTTAATCTCCGCTGGGATCACACATGTTGGGTGACCCAAAGTTTGTGCTGCTCTGTGAATGAGTGTGAAAGCCAGGAGTACTCATTTTGGGTTTATAGATAAATTTGAGGGTGTAGGTCAATTCACAAATACAGAATCTGCCAGTAGTGGGGATCAGCTGTATTTGAGTCGCTGCTCTCAGTTCTCTTGGGTATATACCTAGGAGTAGAATTGCTGGGAAATAGGGTAATTCTAGGTTTTAACGTTTTGAGGAACTGCCAAGCTGATTCCCACCAGTTATGCTCAGGGGTTTCTGTTTCTCCACATTCTTGCCAACACTTGTTATTTTCCATTGATGATCATATATTTTAAAGATTTTATTTATTTTATTTTAGAGAGAGCGTGCTCGGGTGTGCACATATGTGAGCGGGGGCGGGGGTGGGTGGGCTCCCCGCTGAGCTCAGAGCTTGACGCAGGTCGTGATCTCACGACACTGAGATCATGACCTGGTCCGAAACCAACTGAGCCACCCAGGTGTGGGAGCTTCTGATAACGAGATTCTTGCTGCTTTTTACATTTTAATATATCATATTCATATGAGTTCATTTATATACATCCAATTGTTCCTAATTAAAAGCAGCTAAGCACAAATCAGTGATCCAGGATTCTGAAACCCTTTATCTGATTGCAAATACCACAAATGTTTTCATTGTCGTCTTACTCACTTTGTGATATTTTCAGCCTTACAACAGCCATCTTTTTATTAATTTTTTTCTTAATCTGCTAACACCACACCCCAGTGGCTTTCTAGTTCATTATAAGGTGAGTTTCACTCTTAGATTTGTCTTCTATGGACCACTCTTGGGGAGTTTTCCTTATAGAGATAATCTCTTGATTATTGTTGAAATTATTTATAACAGTTTAAAATGTTACTGGCAAAAATTTATCTGCTCCTGTACAACAGAAATTTGCACTTTCATGCATCACATTGGTGATTGGTGCCCGCCCCAGTGCTTCTTCCTGGCCATGGCAGTGACCCTACCACTGTGTTCTGTTTCCAGGAATAACAGGAATCGATCAGGTGTTGAATGTTCTTCTCACAACTGCTATGTTTGTAGGAGGCTGCGTGGCTTTTATCTTGGATAACACCATCCCAGGTATGTGTACATACCCAACATGCCTTTGCCACATGGGAAGTACTTGTTCTGCCAAATAAATACGGAAGCAGGCAGAGTGAATCAGTTCAAAGCCATCACTGGTTAAAACGGTCTTTAAGTGGTTAAGACACTCCCAGCCTCCTTTTATGAATCCGTTTTTTGCTGATAAACCTAGTGGGTTTTTTCCTCCCTGCTGAGTTAGGAGAAAGCAGGAAGTCCCTTACCCATGGGCACTCTCCAGGCTGCCTGCCTCCTGTCAGCTGGCCTCAGTCCCTGCAGCAGCTTCCATCAGCTTGCTCAGACACTCCCCTGAGCTGCGACAGCCTGTGGGCTTCCTCCCCCTCCTTCCTGAGGCAGGCCCCCCACCAACTAAGACCAAAAGATGGTGAGTACGGTGGGTGCAGGCTGTTGCCAGGATTGGTGACTGAGGGACGGATGGAGGCAGCTGTCTTCTCTGACACCCGGGACCCTTGTTCCTCAGCATTCTATGCCCAGTGCTGGGCCCTGGACAAGGATGTGTTGTGAGCCCTGCCTCACAGCCTTCCCAGTTTCCCAGAGGAGGCTGCTGGGTGCCTTTGGAAAGTACTGCTATGGACACGCTGGTAGATTGACCTTCCATCAAGACACGCTGATGCTTATTCTTGAGCTTGAAGGTTTTGTTGAGGAATTTGCCCTGAAGACTGCACACCTCCAAAAAGCCTCAATGAAGAGGTTCCTGGGGAAACTAGGGATGAACACATCAGGCAGAAGGAATCACATGCACGAATACGTGGCACATGTTAGATTCATGGATGTCAATAACGAACACACGCTCTGAGCGAATTGAGAGAGAGGCACAGGAGTCAGATGGAAATGAAAGCTTCGCTACAGAAACACTGACGGGAGGGCGTAGTTTAGATGTAAGAAATAATGATGTTTCTTATACTGCACCATGGACTCGAAGTCATCATCTAGGCTTGGGCAGAGAAGTGTGTTGTCTGGTGTCCCATGTAGCCAAGAGCAGGTGCCAGTGTGCCTCTCTGCACTGAGATTTATGAGATCAACCCAGGGCTCAGGAGTTGCTGAGCGCCATGGGCCCAGATCATTCTCCCTGACTCATCTGTCAGGGTATAGAGTGGCCCCGATTGTTAACGCCAGTGGAAGTTCACCCTCACAGCAGGGACATGAGAAGTGGGGAATACAAGCGAGTGCATCCCTCTCCCTTTCTCCCTCCCCCCATCTCTCTCTCTCTCTCTCTCTCTCTCTCTCTCTCTCTCTCTCTCTCTCTCACACACACACACACACACACACACACACACACACACACACACACGGAGCAAAGTAGGATAAAACTCGGTATGCCTAGATGGGGGGTGGTTTGTCCTGACCAGTTGTCGAAGGCATTATAAATTGTACAATGAAGACTGGGTCCCTTTTTGTAGAGATCACATTTGCAGTTCAGAAGTTCTTTTGTTGTTTGTTGAGAACAGATTTGGGGAAGGAGATGGGGAGATGGAAGGGCAGCCAGCCAGTAAGGGGGGGACCATTATGATGACCCTGGAAAGCAGTAACGTGGCACGGGCTGGACCTCAACAGTGACAGTTGAGGAAATGGGTCACGTGGAAGGACAGGGAGGAGGCAGAGCCATCAGATCGCTTGAATGTGGAGCAAAAGGAACAAGGATGGGTTAGCGATTCTTAGATTTCTGGCTCAGGCACCTGGATGGCCGAGTGCCGTCAGCTCCCCGACAAGGGCTCCTTGCTGTCCTGGCGGGTTCCGTATGTGGGACGGCACACTGGGCATCTCAACTCCCGGTGGAACTGTCAAGCTAAACATTCTATTCCATTGTTTGTGTGTGTGTGTGTGTGTGTGTTGCAGGTACTCCAGAGGAAAGAGGAATCAGGAAATGGAAGAAGGGTGTGGGCAAAGGGAGCAAGTCGCTCGATGGCATGGAATCCTACGATTTGCCATTTGGCATGAACATTATTAAAAAATACAGATGCTTCAGCTACTTACCCATCAGCCCAACCTTTGTGGGCTACACGTGGAAAGGCCTCGGGAAGAGTGCCACCAGCCGGAGTTCGGACGAGGACTCACAGGCCACGGTATAGCTGTAGGTCACCCTGTGGCCCAGCCGCAGTGAGGCATGAAGCTGTAGTTCCTTGCTGAGTAACAAGCAGTAACATATATGTTTGTATATCTGCATTTACCTTCTGCACCCAGGGCTAAGACGATTACAGATAGCTTTTTTGTTGTGGGTGGTGATCGTGTCTAATATCGTGTCTCACTGGTCTCCTTATTTAAGCCCTACCCCTTGCCCTTGAGAGCATCCATTGAACTTCCTCTCCTCCTGTGGGAGTGGGTGTTTGAAATCCACAGTGGTTCCTTGGTTTTGGTCTCCTCCTACCACCCTGGGCTAGCTTTCTCACGAGCCGCTGCCACGGTCCAGGGGCTTTCTGTCCCAGAAGCACTGGACCTGCTTCTGTTTTATTTGACTTCAGCCTGCAACCCGCAGAGACCCCCTCTGGTCAAGGGACACCAGTCTCCTCGCACTGTCACAACTGAGGGTCAAAGGTGATTCTGTGTTCCCTGATCCTCCTGTAGGAGGACGCTACTGACCTGATTGAAAACCGTGACATGGTTACCCCAGGCCCGTGTCTGTGCATGGGTAAGGTCTGTACAGGTATTATTAGAACTGAAATCTGTTTGGGGGATTGGAGGGAAAGGGAAAGTACCTTGAAGTCATATCTGATCTTCAACTGCTCTTTCTTGGTGCCCCCCAGGCCGGGCTGGGCCAGCACATTTCATAGGCGGCTTTGTCACTCTGATTGAGACACTCTATCTGACATTTGTCACTCTGGGCCGATGTGATGGGTAGAGTGCCACACAAGGGCACTAAGCAGATGTGTATGGGAGTCTTGACTCTGCTGTCATGTGGATGTCGGTTACTGTTGCGCTTGTCTATAAATTACAAGATTTTATTCCTATTTAATGTTAATGACTATAGCAGGTTTTTGAAATCAGTGTTTTCCATGTGACCCTCTTACCGTGCATCCCTATTACTTGTCCCCTACCCCTCACCTCCCTTTAAGAAAAGAACCAGCATTTGTAAAGCTGTGGACACCATCAGGGAAGCTTGTCGTCATGGCTTTTGAAGGCCAGTAACCATTATTGTGGTTGTGTTTTGTATTGCTTGATACCATGAAAGTGTAAATACTGTAATGCCTAATCTATTTATCAAAACTGACTACTGGACCAGAGCCCAGAAACCATGGGTTAAGTTACACGTGAATTTGTTTTGTGAAGAAGGGAAACTGGGGGCAGGTAATCAACAGAGCCGCCATATTGAAGGGTCGGGCATCCTGGTAAATTCATCACTGCAGTTCTGTTTCGAGTCTTTTCTGGCACTTAAGGCTTAAGGAGACTGTGTGTGGGTTGTCATGTTGTGTGTCCACTGGATCTTAATTTTGCAGAGGGGAAGATTAGACCCCCTGGCCAAATGCACCTTTCCTATTTAAGTCATTGCAGAAGGTGGTGACAAAAGCAGTTGGCAGGGCCCCTTCCGTCCAGTTCTCGTTAATAACACTAAATCCTTTGTGAAAAAATGACTTCTGTGGAATTTGGTTTGAAATTTGTCAGCCAAAGGAAAACCCTGAAACACCAAGGAGCGACCTCACCGTGTGAGGTGGTGCTTCCTAGGCCGTTCCTTGACCTGGTTGAGCCTTGGACAGCCGCGGGTGTTCCTGTCTCTGACAGCAGGGCATGGTTCTCAGCTGCCTTGTGTCCACAGGATGCGTCCGCTGCCCCCACAGCTGGCTCTGCTCCACCACGCTGGGATGTCCTTGGCAGCATTATTGTCCCCCTAGCCTCCCTGACTCCTGGGAAGTTTGGGGCTTCAAGGCGTATTCTGGCAAGAACAGTTTTACAGCCACTGCATTGTTTGCCAAGATCTGGTTGCAGATTAAGTAAAAAAAAAAAAAAAAGATTCTAAATTACATTTAATTTTGTATGTTTTTAAAAATTGTATCTGATGCATAGTTAACTTTAGAAGCACACTGGTTAACGACTTTCATCCCTTTAACTTGGTAAGCACTCCATGCCGAAGGCCCTCCTGCACCGAGTCGCCCTCAGTTTCCTTCTATTTGTGTTTTTGCTCAGCATCTCTAATTTCTCTGCTCTGAAAAGTGGGGAAAACTGTTAAACATGCCAGAGATTCTAGCTCTCTAGGGGAGCAGAAGGACCAAATATCCAAATAAAAGCATCTGAACCATTGGATAATCTTAACTTTCAGCCTGGCATCTTCCCTCCCAGTGCGTGACACTCAGGATATGTGCTTCAGACATCCAGAAACCCACTCCCTTCTGAAGACCCCTCCTTGGGCCGGGTTTTATTGGGTGGTTCCAAGTGTGCTGGTCTGGGGGATGTCTTCTGCAAGCTTTTAAATGTGGAGGGAAGCCCTGTACCCCCACCTTCTGTTAGAAATGAGGGTTTTTGCCCTTCTTGTTCCATTGGGGCCAACTTTTAGATTCCCTAAGGCAGGGGGAAGGGGGGGGGACAGGAAGTGGGGAGGAAAGAGGGCAGCCCGACTAGAGGGCCCATTGAGTCTGGTACTTTCCGCACAGCCTGTGAAACTCACCTCGGCTTGAGTGATTGGAGTCTCTTGATGATTAATGCCATTTTATACACTGGTCCTCCTGCTGGCAGATATGCTACAGGATGAGTCTGTAATCAAGAGGAATATGTATTCGTCTGCTCCGTAGGCTTTAGCACACGCATGAAAGGGAGGTTTGGGGGAACACAGTGGCTGTTCCTAGTCTGCGTCTGTGCACTTCCCACTTCCATGGTTGGCCTGCACTACTGGGGCCAGGTACCCACCATGCTTTGTTTGGCCAATAGAATGTTTCAAAGGGTTTGGGATGTAAATGTCCTTGGGCGGGGCATTCAGACTCCAGTTTCCATAGTGACCACCTACCCACCATCTTTACATTCACCTTGGGGGACTGGATGTGAGAAGTAGAAAGTATTTATAAGGACAGTAGATGGCTGTCACATCACGGTGGGTGGCAAGGGAGATCCCACCACTGGTTTCAATAAAACCTCTAACATGGTTGACAGAATAATGGGAAATGGCTCCAGTCTTTGTCTCATTAGGGAATTAAACTGAGATTGGTTCATACAGACTCTTTCTTAAGAGGGTTTCGGATGTTAACTTGTAGTAAGTTTCTGGTGATGGGTGAGGGCAAGAGAAGTGGCTTAACCAGGCCAGCTTGAAGCATCATGAGTCCCGATGGTTTCCCATTTTCATGGTAACAAATTCACACACAGGATTTGCTTTATACTGTAGAATACTGACTTTCATGATGACAACTTGGTTTATGCATGAATCTTGCAGTATTTCCATATAGTAAAATAACATTTCTACCCAGGATAATAGTCACAGTTTTCCAGGGAGGGAATGATATAATTTTCATGACAATGTCATGTGATAATAGAATTTCTCCATTGATGAATCTCTAGTATGTGTGTATACTTTATTTACCCATGCGTCTATTTTATCACCATGAGCTAACTCGTTCCTTCTTTAGTTCACGGCCCTGCTGAAATACCGGTACTGGCAACTTCGACTTGAAGTTGGCAGTTACAATCTTCCATAATACCGATGTGGCAGGCGTGGCCAGGTCAGGTGGAAGGTGGATAGGTGACTGTGGCAGAAGCCTCATTCCGGTACCTGGCTGGGGCCGGGCCATGCTGTCGCCGTGCCGAACTGTGGCTGTGGGTGGGGCCTGAGACTTCGGGGGTGGGGGGGGGTTGGCCTCAGAAGCGCCTGGGGTTTTCACACGCTGTGCGTGTGGTGCTCTGTCCCCTTAGGATTTGGACACCCACCACTTGACCTGCAGTCACATCCCGAGTAGCGCAGGAAGACCGCCCGCAGTGGCAGGCATTCGGCTCCCACCCGTGGACGTGGAAAGCACGGTAGCGCTGGGCACCCCTTTTCAGCAGCCTCACACACATTCCTGTCCTTTGAGGTTGTTCTTGACCGTGCCTCGTCCTCACTCCACAGAAGCCACATCCAGCGTCCTTAGACTTGCTGTGTTTGTTTCCTGGCATGTAGGGCACCCTCACCAGTGTTGCCGTCTTACTGACAGTTCAAGTTGATACCCTTTTCTGTTCGTTGGTAACAACCTTTGTTTGACACATTAATAAATTTCTGACTGTTCTTAAAGGAGTGGGGATGCCTATATTTTCCTTGAGTTTTTGTGACTGACTTTGGCTCTCTACCTTTTGGGGATTTTCTTTGTTTTTTATTTTTATTTTGCATACCGAGGGTATTTGGGGGTGGGGTTGTTTTTTTGAGATGTGTAATTCTTTTATGGAGTTTTTAAAAAGAATTTTCATATTGTTTTTCTAACATGGCTTCATTAAACGTTTAAGTATTTTAAAAATATGTAATATTTGGACCAGATGTTGTGAATAATAGTAGAGATAAAGCTATTTTATTCTGTATTTTTAAAACTGTTCCGTACAAATAAAAGCTCTCCTGGACGCAGTTGTGTTCTTGTGCCTCCTTCTTTGGCTGGTCTTTAAGAAATTTGCCATTAATTAAAAGTCATCACCTAGGGGAGGGAAATTGACTAATAAAAAACTCGCTTCGGCAAGCCTCAGATGTTAACCGTTGTCGGGGTCCTGGAAGACTTAAAAGGAGGAAAGCAGGAGCCAAAGCATCCTCTGTTCCTGCGCCCAGAGAACCACAGCAGGCGCCTTGGGGGGAAGCCTGAGTGAGCCTTCCATTCCGGAATGCACCCTGCTGGACTGTGGGTGAAACTGCGTCTCTTGCTAAGGCAGCGACATCTGGAGGCTGGACGGAGAATCTGTCTGTCCACACGGTGGGACCAAAGGCTCCCAGAGCAGCTTCAGCCCGGCCGAGTATCGGTGCTGGGGCAAGGAACGCTGAGGCGTGGATGCCATAAAGGCCTGGAGCTGAGCTTGAGAGCAGCTGGTGAAAGCTCATTCTGTCAGGCCTCCCGGTGGGGCATGAACATGGGCGCAGAGGGGCTCCCATGTATTTCTTTCTTTAGAGCAAACTTAAGAGTTCCCCCATTCCTGTCTCCATCCCTGCTTCATCTCTGGCATTTCGGGCCACGAGTGGCCCCCACAGCTACTCCCATAGGGTGTGCATCCTGCCGCCTCCTGTCCCCAGTACCCTGACCTCTAAGCTGCCACTGGGCAACCAGTCAGTCACAAGGTGAAATGTTTACACAATGGACATGCAAAAAAAAACAAAAACAAAAAAACAAAGTATTAAAATAATAAAATACCCGTGTTCTCACCTCCAGCAGGACAAAAGCACATTACCAGTACTTCAGACCGACCTCCTCCCCGCCACCCGCCGTGCCCCATCCACCAAGAGAGAATCACTGGGTTTTGGGTTGGTCCTTTCCTTGCTTCACAATCTTGCCCATATATATGCGTTCGTAAACAGTTTACTGTTTAGTCTGTTTTGCATGTTTTTTAACATTATGTAAAAAGTAACAGTGAATGTATTATCACATTTCACCCACTATTACGAGATTCTTTAATGTTGGTATGTGTCTGTGATGTAGTTCATCTTCACTGCTGGGTAGTAAAATTTAGGATTACCAAAGACAAAGCTCATTCTGAAAGCTTCTGGAGACCGTGAACCAGAAGCAATGGACGACATTCCAGCAGCAACCCTGTGTGTGGAGGTAACATTTCTAAGGACTGAAGGAAAAAAACTTCGAACTTAAGAATTTCACGTCTATCCACCCAAATGCCCCCATTTAAATACTTAGGATGAAGTAGTTGACTCAGGAGGAGACAAACCCAGGAGGCGCTGTAGGAGATGATAGAGGGCAAGATGCGCAGTAAATACCTTGGTAAACCTGTCTTGGCCCATTTTGGCTGCACAGAAAACCATAGACTGTGTGGCTTAGAAACATTTCTCACGGTTTTGGAGGCTGGAAGTCACGGCTCCAGCAGGTGCAGAGTCTGGTGAGGACCTCTCTCCCCGTCCATGGATGGCCATCCTCACTGTGTCTTCACATGGTGGAAGAGGCAAAGGATCTCTCTTTGGGGCCTCCTTGATGAGGCCACTAATCCCGCTCATGAGGGATTCACCAATCCCACCTCATGACCTAACCACCCAAAAGGCTCCACCTCCTAATACTGTTACTTTGGGGAGTAGATTTTATTATGAACTGGGCGGGGGGGGCGGGCACGGTCTATAGCACGTGGTCTCAAATTGTAATTTGAGGC